GCTTCGGCGCCTGTGGCGGGCTTCTTTTGCATTCGTTCCAGGTGGAGAACCTGCGACCCAAACCAGTGTAAAAATCAAAACGTTCGGCGCCTGCGGCGGGCTGTTTTTGAATAGATTCCAAGTGGAGGTGGAGAGCCCGCGACCCACCCGCGACCCAAACTACGTTCATTGAACAAGCCAAACATTCGGCGCCTGCGGCGGGTTGTTTTTGCAATCGTTCCGGGTCGCCCGCCAGCGATCCCCCCCGCGCTGAACTTGTCACAGCACGACGACGACGATGAGGACGAGAACGCGGACGAGGAAGAGGAGGATGAAGAGGAGCAGGAGGAGGAGGAGAAGGGCGCCATCGACAGGGAGGGTGAGGGCCACGAGTTCCGCCGGCTCCACGCCAGAATAGCCCGCGCCCGCCCCCTCACTCTCATCCGCAATTGCGGCGTGCTATGTAACAGTCGGCTTTGACCCAACACTCAGCTCAGCCTCCTCCACCTTGCCCACGCGATCGGAAGTCCGATCTTGATGCTTGAAAAATTCGCGCATAGACAAGTCCATGTACCGGGCCATTATGATACCACCTCAACTCAATCTCGAAGTAGTCCTCACATGCTTGACTGACTCTGTGAATGAGAACACCTTCCCCGGCAAAAATGTCAGCCCAGAGATTGCCCCGGAAAAGAAAAAACTGCGGGATTCCATGCTCGGCAGAATATCCTACATCCTTGCGCAGTGGGAACTGCAAAAACGATGTCGGGATCGACTCCACAACGTCATGCCCGCTTTAACAAATCCCAAAATAGACCATGGGATCCCGTCGCAGGGCCCAGGCTGTCCGACCAGAGGTTGCCCTCATCACACAGCCCAAGCAGGTCAAGGTCAGCGCCAAGAAAATCAAAGTTGCGAACCACTCGAACGGCCATGAGTACCGCGCACCGCCCAGCACGCCCAACCGACTACAACCGCCCAGGTAACACTCCGCACGCACTCCGACGGGTGAACCAACATAGGGAAAGCACGACAAAAAAAAAAAAAAAAAAAAAAAAAAAAAAAAAAAAAAAAAAAAAAAAAAAAAAAAAAAAAAAAAAAAAAAAAAAAAAAAAAAAAAAAAAAAAAAAAAAAAAAAAAAAAAAAAAAAAAAAAAAAAAAAAAAAAAAAAAAAAAAAAACGCCGCACGACCTCCGGAGCAGCTGAAACAAATCCAGAACAGGCGGCAAACAACACATTACCCCAAAGTGATCTGCCAGAGGACCAATCTCCCCAGGGCCAGCAGTCTGCCTGCAACTCCGCCTTGGGGATGTCCATGGGCGACGCAAGGAGCGCCACCGCCGCCGGCCGGAAGGAACCCCGATTCGACTCAACGCATCGCAACCCTCTATCACACATGAATTGCAGGGCGCCCTGAAAAGCCTCGGGCAGCACCCCGCCCTGCCCCTCGATCTAGCCCATCGGCGACAAGAGTTTCTCGCGCCGCTAGAAGCAGCGCCCCGCAGTGCCACGCTCGGCCCCACGCTTGCCACAAGACTCACGCTGCGAAAATCCGACTCGATACTGGTCGCACTGGGCCCAAGCCGCGCCGGCCCACTGGGCGCGCAACGAAACCGCCGCCGCCGCCCCTGCCTTCACCCCCGCACTCTCGGCCGCCAGGCACGCCCTAAGCGCCCGACACCAAATGGACCCATTAGCTCCCAGTAGATGCTGAAAACGCGCTCGGGCCCGCTCGCCTTGCCAGCGCTGCATGCCCTGACAGGTGGGCCCCCTGACGTCCTTGGGGGCCGTAGTGAGACGAGGAACACACGTTTCTTGGTCCGCGACCAGCGTGGTCAACGAGCGCATGGCCCAATCAACGCGCCGAAGGATGAACGTCACCGCGCCTATCGGCCCCCTTAGATGCCTCCAACTGGGCCCATGGAGAAGCTCGGGCGCAGCCGATGCCCAAGCGCGGCGCAGCCTGCTGCACTATCCGACATTCCCATATCCAACTGCGACATCGAACAGCAACGCCGCAAGTCGCCACGTCGATAGGACCATACTCTGCCGAGGCCTGCGTCGCCAAATACAGCGACAGCGATGACGAACCATTCCTCGCACCAATGAGCATCCCAACCGCGGACCGCAACATCTCGAGCGCCCCGCCCGCGGCCCCCGAAACTCCAGCCCCGTGAGCTGCCGCGGACAACGGCCGAGCACTGACCCAGCGCCCCACACGCACCCCCACCACTCTTGAGCATGAGGACGCGGACCTTCCTGCTAATAAGCTTCGCAAGCCTGGCCCGCGCAGGTCATGCCCCAAATTGCGCGCGGCCCGGCACGCTTGCAAGCCTCGCGCACCTGGGAACATCTTGACGTTGATCTTGGCCCCCCTGGAGCTCGCCACGAAACCTGACATGTCCGGTTGAATCACCAAGCCCAGCAACGTCGCCCCAGCCTTGGACTCCGACACCACTTGCCACGAAACCGCCATGCCCTTCGGACTGGGCCCCGCCCATTGCATAGATATGTCGTCTATGAGCGCCCTCGGCACCACTCCTGACCTTCGCGCTCGCTCGAGCAATCGAGCAAGCAGAACTGGCATGACCCCACACGCGCGCGAGCAGCCATCAAGACTACATCGGGAAACTGCCACCCCATAGCTGAGGGAGCCAAACGCCGGCAGCTCTGCCAAGCACAGACAAAACATCCAGAGCAACCACATAACGTTTCCCGCAATACAAGCTCGGAACACTTCTGGGCGCCCAACGCCGCGGCGACCGCACGCTCACCAATCGCACCAACGACCACCGACTCAAGGTTGAGACCACAGGCTGACTTGGACGAGGACAGAGCTCCACCAACCCCCGAGACGTCGGCCGACGGATGGCCAACCAACCGCTGAGCAATGATAGGCGCTCTTTTCCATGACCGCAGCCGAAAGGGGCAGCTCGCGAGCGGCAATCGATTGCCCCCCGATGGCCTGGGAAACCCCGCCATCTCATCCCAGATGCGTGGGAACGGCCAAGCACCCAAACGCACGCACTGCAAGCCCCCCCCCCCCCCCACCCCACCCCTCAAGACCAGCAGCCCCACGTGCGACCGATGAGTTAAAGCCCGCGCGGCCACGGCACCCGGAGATACTGCTGCCGAGAGAAGAGAATCGCCCCCGCCATCACCTCCAAATCAATGGTGGGGCATACTGGGCCAGCCATGGGAATCACCGGGCAAGCGCATGGAACTCGCTGCATGATACTTCCAAACCTTACACCAGTCATCCATCTCACGATCGCATAAAACCCTTGCGCGCGGCGTGCTTCGTCGCGCGCCCCCATGGCGCGATCGTTCCTTGCGGTTCACGAAGCTCGGTGACCTCGCGCGCCACGCGGGCAGCATTGCCGAATGACTCGCGCAACCTCCTGCCAGACCTCGCGCCCCCCATCAACTGCCGCCTCGAACTTCATCTAGCAAAACTGCACGGCGCCGCCAGCCTGGACTGCGAAATCACGCAACAAAAAGACCTCCAGTTCTAAACTGAGAAAATCTCGAACCCAAGGCTCAAGCTCGCTGAACGACCCGCGCCCCATGACCAGTCTGAAGTACCAACTTGACGAAAATGCCTCTGCCAAACACCAATCGCGCAATGGATTAAACGCAGTTCCACAACACTTCGCTTGAAATGCGCACAGAACCCCATCAAGCGCGTCGCCCATCTGACCGCCGCCTCGCAATCAAAAGCCGCCAGGCAAAGCCGTGCCCCGCGGGCTGGCGGCGCACCAGCCCGCTTCGCCATCGCGAACTTCGGCGCGCCCGACCTCGAACACACAGCGCATACCGTCTCTTCTCACAACGTCGTACCTGTCGTAGCCCTCCAAAGTCATGGCAGCACTGCCCCATGCAATAGCCAGCTCGCAAACATTCTGTACACCCTCGACCAGATGAGCCGGAAACCCCCAATCAGCCTGGGCTCTCGCGCAACCAGGAAGCGGGGCAGCCGCTACCTTCTCAGGCTCGATGGCAACTCTCACCATCAGCTCCGGATCCCCAGCAAAGAACAGCACATGAACTGGCAAGTGCGGCGCCGCGGCAACAGCCTTATGCACCCCAGGTCTCCGCACTCTCAACGCTAAGTTGGCCGAGAACAAATAGTAGTCCAACACCTTGTGCTGTTCCACCTTGTAGGCCTCTGCACGTCGTAGCTTCAGACAAGAGAACAACACCGCTCAAGCGATGCAACCAAGGCACCTGCAGCTCATCAGAAGTCACGTTGAAACCACCTGCCACAATCCAATCCCACTGCGCCGCTCCGAGCTGGGCCTCAGACTGCGCCAAACACCACAGCACATCCTTGCTAGTGTCATTCATCCCGCCGAATCCTACACGCGAAAGCCGAACACTACTATGCAACTGCGAACTCCCCAGCGCACGGGGCCAGCGGAAAACCTGCCCGGCAAAACAGCGGACTTCAAAAAAGGTGATGCCGGAACTGGTAGATCAGACCTCGCCAAAATAGCAACTCCACCGCATGTACCTTCTCCAACTCCAATCGAAATCACAGGTGTCCAAACTCCGCCATACCCGTGATCCTTGATCTGATGCTGAAAATCTGTCTACGTGCTCGCCGTCCTATGACGTTCTTGCACCACCAGAACAGACGGATCATCACCAAATGTTTCCAACAACGCCTCCAAGGATCCCCAAGAGGTGATGTTGGCTGTAGTGATAGTACCCTTGACCTTCATCACTGCTAATACATCAACAAATGAAATAATAACTATACACGACAAGGCCAAACTAATACACCTGATTTGCAGCGACACGCTTCGGATGAAAGCCTCCTGCAGCCAACTTCTTAGCTCGAGTCCGCAGCTCGTCGTCCGTCCCCTGAACTGGCCCAAGCACTTTGAGAGTAGAACGCACGTCTTCCCACTCCAAGGCGTCGGGATCCCATGGGGTCGGCGGCACACGGGTAGGAGGCTCATCAACTGAATCACCAGATTGTTTATCATCCACCTGCTGATTTTGCCTGCGTGGTGCTCTGGGCCTTGCTGGCGACGTCGCCACCAGCTCCCGCAGCGCGGGCCCAATCCCACTCGAAATGTTGTCCAGGGCCGTCTGCGAGCAATACTGTCCCTCCGCAGCTCTGGACACCAATTCACCCAGCTTTTCAATTGATATCCCCAGCACCGATGCCTCAGCATGTTGATCACCTGCTTCAACTGGCTGCGGAAGTTGCTTCTGTAGCCTGCTCAACTGCGTCTCCGAATCCAACAGTGTGCGTTGGCCTCGTCACACGCCCGTTGTGCTTCATCCTATGCAACCTTCGCTTTGTCGACCATCTCTTCGGCCTCCGCGAGCTTCGCCTGCAACGTCGTCTTGATCTGCTGCGCCCGTACTCGATTATCCAAAACATGAGCTGGAGCATGCAATACTTTAGCATCATGAACTTCAAGGCGTAGCTTCTCCAGCTTGGCCATGAGCCCAATCTTATGCTCAGCAGCCCAGGCAGACTCGAGCGCCTTGATGGCCTTGAGGTTCGCCTCAAGATCCTTGATCTCAGCAGGCCGCTGGGCCTGCTTGTCCTCAGTAGAGACGCCAGCGCCAGAAGCAGCAGCAGGGGGACCAGAATCCACCTCCATCGCCTGTGCGTTGTCGTCCTTGCAAAGCCCCACCTTCTTGCTGAGCTGGGCGTTCTCGGTCTGCAGTCTCTCGTAAAGCTTCCAAACACAACACTTTGTTCAACTCGAGGCTTGCACACAGAGGGTACACTAGCTTCGGCGTTGCCTGTGAACGCGTTCTTTCTGTGCAGCCTGCAACGGAAGCATTGCAGATTGGAGCCCCAGTTGATGAGTGGCTTGTCTTTCTTGGGGTGGACGCAGTCCTTGCATAACCAAGACTTGCGCAGTTTATTCTATGCCCCCATGACTGCCCAAAGCACAGCAATAAGAGACGAGAGCAATGAGGAGCACGGAGGGTCCTCGACCCCGCCGCCGAACTCCCCGAGATCGTAGATGAGGGCTCGCTGCCGCAGGCCGTGCTGAAGAATTGCGGCAGCAAGCTCAGGCCGAGTATCAGCGCCTGAGCCTGAACGGCTACCCAGGAGCAGGAGGAGGAGGAGGGGAAAGAGGACGTGGGTCGGTCGGACACGGTTCCGGCAGACGTTTCGCATGCCATCGAAGGCTGAGCCGCATATAGAGGAGGGTTGGGGGACAAAGACAGACCGACAACGCTACTCCAAAGACCTCTCCCGGGGTGCGCTCTGACAAACAATTTCAAAACGAATCCAACCGTGGCGAAGGGGGCCTCCCAGGAGGACTACAAAATGCGAAAACGACGCAGGTAAAGCGGTATCGGCCCCGTTTCCCCGCTTGACACGCGAGGACATCAATGTGGTTCCCGGGCAATCTCAAGACTCCAGCGGCGGTTCGGGACGATCCAAGCACCCGCGGAACGTCCTCGACGAGGCGCAATTGCTGGAACACGTCCCCCCGAAGCGAAAGAACCCCGAAGAACCGACGAGAAAATGCACGACACCGTCCAGCCCCGACACGACCCGGACCGACAGGTGCTGGAGCGCCACGAGGCGGGAGGCGCAGGCCTTCAGCACCGTCTGCGCGTCGCTGTTGACCCTCGCCTCCTCCTCCTGGTCTGCCTGGCGCTCCCCGCCCCAGGCTCGCGCGGCCCAACGAACGCTCGAGCTCGATCGCGAACCCCGAGGCTCCACGGGGCGGCGGCGGCGGCGGCGGCGGCAGCGACGACGACGACGACGACGACGACGACGACGACGACGACGAGGACGATGACAGCGGCGGCGGCGGCGGCGGCGACGACGAAAATGCGAGCGGCGGCGGCGATCAGGCCGGGCAGGGGGGGGAGACGTCGAGGCCGAACGGGCGAGGGCTTCTGGGCGGCGCCCCTGCTCTTGCCGCTCCGGGCTTCTTCTGACAAGCCATGTTCCCGAACAACAGATGTCCCTGCCGAAGTCCACGCTTTCGCCCCCTCGAACCAGGGGCAACCGCGTGCCAAAGAACCGGCGGCGCGACACGCTGCGAAAAACCTGGGACTCGATGTTGCGACACAATAAACATTAGCCTGGCGAGAAACCCAACCATACCCAGCTGTGAGCACCGCATATGTTGGTGTCGTCTTCGGCGGAGTTCTTTGTGGGGGGCACGAACCGTGCGAGGGGCGTGCCAAAGAGGAACGGCGGCGGCACGCGGGCGCTGCCACTGGGGCCGTCGGCGGGGTTCCTATAAAGCCTTCGGCGTGGCCCCCTCTGTCCGTGATCTGTTTGATGGGGGTAGCGAGAAAGCTAGACCATCCAAGATTGTCCATTTTTTCTTTTCCTCCCGCTGTGCCCGCGCACTCCAAAGTCCAAGGCCGCGGGCGCAGCGCAGCGCGGAGTCCCCGCGACGCGCGCCGGTCGCCCAGAAGGGGCCCCAGCGACGCGCGCGGGTCGCCCGCTGCGCGGAGCAAAAACAGCTAGCTTGCTGGCCGATTGCGGGCAAGGCTCTGGCTGCTGGGCAAAGCGTCGACAGGCGAGCGAGGCACTGGGCAAAGCAGCATGGAATGTTCCCGCGACGCGCTGGTCGCACCGAGAGGGTCCTAGCGCCGCGCGGGCCCTCCGCAGCGCGGGGCCAAACAAACCGGCGAGAGAAGTCGAGGCTCGGGCGGGCCGCTCCCCTGTAGAGCTATGGGGCCACGAAGCGTGTGAAAGATGTGTTCCTTATGGGGCCACGAAGCGCGCCGCTGGGACCCTCGGTGGAACTCCCTGTGGGACAACGAAACGCTGTACGGGGCGGTGGAACCGCTTGCGAGTTCTGCTTCTGGGACCTTCGCTGGAACTCCCCTGCAGGGCTATGGGGCATCGAAGCATGTGAAAAATGTGTTCCCTATGGGGCCACGAAACGCTGTACTGGGCGCAGCAACCGCTTCCGAGATCCGCCAATGGGACCTTCGGTGGAGCTCCCTATGGGGCCACGAAGCGCTGCACTGGGCGCAGCAACCGCATGCGACTTCCGCCCGTGGGATCGTCGGTGGAGCTCCCTATGGGGCCACGCAACGGTGTACTGGGCGCGGGACCCACGAGATCCGCCACTGGGACCGTCAGTGGAGCTCCATATAGAACCACGAAACGCTGCATCGGGCGCACGAACCGCGTCCGAGTTCCGCCTCTGGGACCCTTGGTGGAACTTCCTGTGGGGCCACGAAACGCTGTACTGGGCGCAGGAGCCGCATGCGATTTCTGCTCTGCCTCTGGGACCTTCGTTGGAGCTCCCTATGGGGCAGCGAAACACCGCACTGGGCGCATGAACCGCATGCGAATTCCGCCGCTGGGACCTTCGGTGGGGTTCCGTATGGGGCCACGAAACGCTGTATCGGGCGCGGGAACCGCATGCGACTTCCGTCACTGGGACCTTCGGTGGAGCTCCTTATGGGGCCACGAAACGCTGTAGTGGGCGGGGGAAATGCATGGAGGAGGGAGGAGGGGGAGGAGGAGAAGGAGGAGGACGAGGAGGAGGAGGACGAGGAGGACGAGGAGGAGGACGAGGAGAAGGAGGAAGGGAGGTGGAGAGGTGGGACGCGGGGCGCTGTCTGTTCAAAACGAGGACCCAACACCACAGGATGTGTGGGAAACAACGGAAAACACGACCAAATCCCCAGACCGTACGCCCCAGGTGTGTGCTGCATTTTTCGAGCCGGATCGATCTGTGATGGTCCCGCGACCCGACGCCGCGCGAGAAACGCCCGACATGCACAAAGTGCAGCGCCTGGGGCCCTGCTCTCAGGAAAGCTCTTGACCGTAATCAACGTTTTGGCTAACGGACAGCACGCCCTCATACCTATACAGCGGAGGCCAGTCCACAAGAAACGTTCCACAAGAAACCCAAACCTGAGACCCCAGAACGTCTATGGACTGTTGGCGTGGCAACGTCGCGTCTCCCACCGCAAAACCATCGAACTCCAAGAAAACCACGGCACCCTGGAGGCAAGCAGGGCGTTTTTGTTTGTCGCATGTTCCATTGTAATCCATGCATTGATGAACGTAGAAGGCCAAAAACCCACCCCCATGATAACCACCCCGACACGCAAAGCCGTTTACTAAACGCTCCCGCTGAAGGAATCGAACAGTCAGGGCTGTTTAGCAAACGCCCAAGGTCGTTTAGTAAACGTCATTATGGTCTGGGCGTTTTTGGGCGAGGCGGGGATTTGTCCATATGCACCGCCTGGGAGGCGACGCCCTGGCGCCCCAGCGAGCGGTGGATGTGGATATATGTCGGCCCACAGGAGCTAGAATACACGGAGGTTGAAAAAAACAAGGAATTCTAAAACAATAAATGTTGGTAGAGACCGCAGACCCGAAGAGAGGCAGAGAACAAAACTAGGCATAAAAAATGCCCTTGCGAAAGACCCATACATACGCAGTTGTGAATACCGCAATTGTGAATACCCTCTTCGTCCACGCTCCCTATGTGGCCACGGCTTCCCGCCGGAGCCCGACATGCTCAGGGACACGTTCGCGGCCGTCTTCGCGGGCGCCGACGACGACGAGGACGGCGCCCCCCTGACCGAGGATCAAAAGCAGGAGAGGGCTCTGAGAGCCATGAGGGAAGCTGTCACTGGCGCCCCTCATGGCTCGTGGTGTTGGGTCCTGGCACCCCCAAAGGCGGCTTCGGAGGAGCTCCCTATGGGGCCACGAAGCGTGCGAGGGGTGTGCCAAAATGGGTGTGGGTACCGCATGCGAGTTCCGCCACTGGGACCTTAGGTGGAGCTCCCCATGGGGCCACGAAACGTGTGAGGGGTGTGCCAAAACGGGGCGTGGATGTCATGCGAGCTCCGCCACTGGGACTTTAGGTGGAGCTCCCTATGGGGCCACGAAACGTGTGAGGGGTGTGCCGAAATGGGGCGGGGATGCCATGCGAGCTCCACAACTGGGACTTTAGGTGGAGCTCCCTATGGGGCCACGAAACGTGTGAGGGGTGTGCCGAAATGGGGCGGGGATGCCATGCGAGCTCCGCCACTGGGGCCTTAGGTGGAGCTCCCTATGGGAAAATGGATGCCATGCGAGTTCCACCACTGGGACCTTAGGTGGAACTCACTTTGGGGTCACGAAACGCGTGAGGGGTGTGCCGACAGAGAGAGATGCGGACGAGGCAAAGAGCAAAAGTAGGAATAAAAATTACGCTACCGAGGAACCCCACATACTTAATTTGAATAGTATGTGTTTGCTTAAGTTTATGATATATGCGCAAGTCTGCGTTCTCAGCCCTCGTCGCGAATGATCCCCTATGTGTCATCCAACGCCATATTGCTTGAACCTCCTCCCTCTTCCTAGCCTTCTATCCTCCATCGAGGACAGATTCGAGCCAGCCAGCGGCCGCAGTGAGGGACCACCCCCTGCGCACCCTCTATGGTGTCGAGAAAATACCACGCCTGCTATGCCCTGGGCGACCGTCGTGCATAGCGGCCGCGGTGAGGGACCATCCCCTGCGCAGCCTCTATGGTGTCGAGAAAATGCCGCGCCTGCTATGCCCTGGACGACCGTCGTGCTTAGCGGCCGCGCTGAGGAACCACCCCCTGCGCAGCCCCTATGACGTCGAGAAAGTGCCACGCCTGCTATGCCCTGGACGACATTCGTGCATAGCGGCCGCGCTGAGGGACCACCCTCTGCGCACCTCCTGTGGTGTCGAGAAAGTGCCGCGCCTGCCACGATCTGCGAGCGTGTCACGGATAGAGGCCGCGCTGAGGGACCACCCTCTCCGCACCCCCTGTGGTGTCGAGAACGTGCCGCGCCTGCCACGATCTGCGAGCGTGTCACGGATAGAGGCCGCGCTGAGGGACCACCCTCTGCGCACCCCCTGTGGTGTCGAGAAAGTACCACTCCTGCCACGATCTGCGAGCGTGTCACGGATAGAGGTCGCGCTGGGGGACCACCCTCTGCGCACCCCCTGCGGTGTCGAGAAAGTGCCACTCCTGCCACGATCTGCGAGCGTGTCACGGATAGAGGCCGCGCTGGGGGACCACCCTCTGCGCACCCCCTGTGGTGTCGAGAAAGTGCCACTCCTGCCACGATCTGCGAGCGTGTCACGGATAGAGGCCGCGCTGGGGGACCACCCTCTGCGCACCCCCTGTGGTGTCGAGAAAGTGCCACTCCTGCCACGATCTGCGAGCGTGTCACGGATAGAGGTCGCGCTGGGGGACCACCCTCTGCGCACCCCTGTGGTGTCGAGAAAGTGCCGCTCCTGCCACGATCTGCGAGCGTGTCACGGATAGAGGCCGCGCTGAGGGACCACCCTCTGCGCACCCCCTGTGGTGTCGAGAAAGTGCCACTCCTGCCAAGATCTGCGAGCGTGTCACGATAGAGGCCGCGCTACCACCCTCTGCGCACCCCCTGTGGTGTCGAGAAAGTGCCACTCCTGCCACGATCTGCGAGCGTGTCACGGATAGAGGCCGCGCTGAGGGACCACCCTCTGCGCACCCCCTGTGGTGTCGAGAAAGTGCCACTCCTGCCACGATCTGCGAGCGTGTCACGGATAGAGGCCGCGCTGAGGGACCACCCTCTGCGCACCCCCTGTGGTGTCGAGAAAGTGCCACTCCTGCCACGATCTGCGAGCGTGTCACGGATAGAGGCCGCGCTGAGGGACCACCCTC